AGGCAGCGGCTGATGCAGATAGGCGTACAAGGACTCTTCAACAATTGATCACCTTGGCTCATAACGGTGGTTCAACGGTCTGTTTGTTTTTCATAACTCTTGGTCCTCATTTTGTGGTAGTTTCTTTCGTTGTACGTTTGTTTGACTGCCATTCCGTTAACAGGAAGAGAGGTTTCGATGTGGTGGAGTTATTGTCAATGTCGAGTCGAATGTCCCATGGTACTATAATTCGTGCAGGCTCTGTTCAAGGGCTGTTTCAAAGCGTCGTGATGATACATTTTGGTGTTCGAAAGATTGGCAGCTGAAGGAAGATCAGATCCGCATTAAGTATTCGCTCAAATATTTTTTCTCTCTGTGTTGTCTGCCAATTCATACACAGTTTATGATTGTTATGCTTTGCTGGTGTTTAATTTTGTGCTTTGTAGCTACAAGATCCAATTTACATTGAAGGATGACACTTCTGAGGCCCGGTTCATTGCCATGGGTGGGTGTGGCCATGCATTAGTTAATATTTCAGCAGCTTACTTGGCACAGCGATTTCCCTTTCGCCCAGGGCAATTGCCACCACAACTCAACCAACTTCGTGACCAGTATGTCAAGCTTGATTGCAGGCTGCCGCTCCTTGGTTCGACTGGGTTTACATCTGGGGAATTTCGAGTTGCCCAGGATGTACCGCTTGATGATCCTCAGGTTGTTGCTGACATGCTTCAGTATCATCCTCAGCTTGCATTGCCAGCTGCTGCCTAGCCAGGAGACGTGCCAGTTCATGTAGCTGCAGCACAGATTTCACCGCCGTCAGAAATAGTTGGATCATCCGGCTCTGGAAGGTCTGCTTTTGCTAATGGCTCTTTCTGTTTTCCTTTGTTGCTCTACATATACACTAGGTTTTTTTACACATCTGCTTTCTGTTTCTGACATGTAGGCTTTCGCGTGCTGAGAAAGGGAAAGCAAAGGTGATTGATGCTTCGCCGGTTGAAACCCCAAATCCTGCATTCAGTATTGGTCATGATTCAGACGAACCAATAAGGTTGGTCTCCTGTGATTTTGACAGCAAGCCCTTCTCTTTTGCACTTATCTTCTCAGTGGATTATATGATTTTGTGTTGTTGTTATGTCTTCAAGTGTATATTTGCCAACCATTCAACCTGATCTGCCTCAAGTTGTCGGGAGCCAAAGTCCTGCCAAAGGATCCATTCATGGTGTACAAGCACAGATTCCAGTGATACAAGAAATTGAGGAAATTGTTGTGGATGGTTCTTCGAAGACAAGCACTCCTGCAAGGCAACATCATCGAAGTGTTGTTGCACCTGTTGGAGGAGATGGTCCCAAACCCTCTTTTACAATAGGTGGGACCGTTGGCATCAATGATCTTGGAGATGATTTGCTGGCTGGTGATTCTAAGATTGCTAAGCATGATGCAACAGCTTCTCCTGGGAGTGTTGTGCAATCTGCATCGAATTCGCCTTCAGCAACTTTGTATGTTTGTTGTTTGTTCTAATACTTCCAAAATTAGACATAATCCCATGGTGTGCTCATGATCAGTGGTTTGTTTACATGCAGGTTGTTGTCCCCATTGGCAAAAATAAAGGTCGAGAAGTTGACAGCCTCTGAAATTGATGCCCTGAAGGATGGTGATGGAACTTTGGCCAATGCTGATGAGGTCGAGTCTTTGCCGGGTGATGCTCAAAAGAGGCCTGCTGCAAAGCGTGCTTTGTTCAGGAAATGATGTAAGAGACCACATGTTTGATCTTCCTCTGGGTTTTAATCCAAATTCAGAAATAATGCACATTTTGAAGTGCCAGGAAACCATGAATTATCTAATTTGAAAGTGTGTAATTTTACTAGGTCATCCACGCTTATTTGAGTTCTGTGTTCCTTTTGCTTTGTGTTGTAGGTGTTGGAGGTCTGTGCTGGGGGGCTTTTGTGTTCCAGAGGCCGGTGTTGTGTGTGTGTTGTGGAACGCGTTGGTGCCTTTTACCCAGAAGCTATGGGGTTGGTTGGCCTTTTTTTTGTTCACCAAGACATGTTTTCTCTAAGGAAGGCTGGTGTAAATAATCATGTTCACCTCTGGAAAGTATCGATGTTTGATGCTGAACGATGATGCTCTACCTAAAATTGTTGTAGTCCCATGCCGTGTAGGGTATCTTTTTTGATAAAAACAAGTAATTGTCGTGAAAGTTTCAGATAAGTAATGTGCCCGGATTGTTTATGTTCAGGTGGATCTTTCTATGTAATTGAAGTGATCTTTTATGTTATCGTTGATCATGTGTTCGTATAATAGGGTTATCAAATTAATGGTTTTGAAATCACGGTGATGGTGTCCTTTCGCACATAATGGTCTATGTCTGTCGGTTTCTTACATATTAAGTTTTGTTGACAAAAAACCGTTATTGAATTATCGTTGTAGATTAAAATCCATGCTTGCCATTCATATACCTTTTTCCCTTAGATTACCCACAAAAAAACTCGGCCTCACTGTTGTGTTGTTGATGGTTAGATGCCACCAGAATCCTTACAATTTTAGTAGAAAAATTGTGTGTAATTTGGCCCACGTTGGTTTTTTATTTCAAGACATCCACTGCCAGATGCCAGTGCTCACATTAGATGAAGGTGTCAGTAAAATGATTGCATTTTTGCTCATTGAAACTAAAACCTGTGTGGTGGAAGATGATGGACTGACCCTCAAGGCCTTTTCATTAATTGCAGCCGTCTTTTACATAGTAAACTGTCAAGTATCTATTAGTAAACTGTCAAGCATCCACAAAGTGATCACCAGGCGGACGTCCATGTCCAAGAGAGGCGAGGTAGTCTGCAACGACGTTTCCTTCCCGGTACACATGGATAATTTCTACCCGCCAGTCGAGAGCTTGTAGCCGACGCACTTCCGAGATCAAAGCCAAATGGGGATGCCGCTCCCCTGCACTACCAATAAGTTGAATAGCTGAGAGGGAATCAGTTTGGACTTGTACCTGCCGGAATCCCATTTCCCAAGCTGTTTGCAATCCAAAAACAATGCCTGCCAACTCTGCCTTAGTAATTGATCCTTCTCCCAAGTTCCTCGAGAAAGCTCTCAGCATACGGCCATTGTCTCGTCTGATCACCCCTCCCGCCGCTGCGTTCCCACTAACCACCGAACCATCTGTATTAATGCATACCCAACCTGTCGGGGGTGGCGTCCAAGCAATGAGCCGCCGGGTAGTGGCTTGGCTTCCCGCGAAGACCCGGGCAGCCTTAGTCTCCGCCTCCTCAATCTGTTTCTCCATAGTCACCACTCTGCAGGTAAGTGAGTGTATCGACTCGAGCTCCTTTTCAAACACCAGTTTATTCCTGTTCTTCCAAAGAGACCAACACATCACTGCAAACCTGGTTGGTGCCACATGCAAGCTGCGGTCAGCAAGGTAGTGAAGGATCCATCTGCTTAGGTCGTTTTGGAAAAAAGCCTCATCGGGCTCCTCTTGTAGGAACTTCGCCCAGGTAGCACGAGCATAGGGGCAATCGCGAATGACGTGCATGGTCGTCTCATCGTCTCCTCCACAAATTTGACAAGTAGCCACAGTGGTTAAGTGTCTTCGTCGCCTTTCACAATTAGTGAGCAGCCTTTGGTGCGCTACGAGCCAAAAGAAAGCTCTGATCCGTTGAGTTGCAGGGAGCCGCCATAGCGTCCTCCACATAGGGTGCGAGCCTCCTGGGTTCTCCTCCACCTCTGTCAATGTATATGCCGACTTCAACGAAAAACAACCATATGGAGTTAAACGCCAGACTGCCACATCCTCACCTTCTTCATTCGGGACTGGGTGAAGCTGAATGAGGCTGACTATTTCCTCCTGCAAAAAAACACGTAAGTACTGCAGGTTCCACTGACCGTTAAGAACCAGCTCTGCTACCGTGAGTGATAGTGCCTATTGCGGGAGGTTTATAGCCAAGTCAGCTAGAATCGGACCATCCTGTAGCCACCGATCCATCCAAAACCGGGTGCTTCTTCCGCTCTTTATATTCCACATGATTGCGTCTGGCAGCAAATGCAGGACCCGGAGAATGCCACACCACAGGTTTGACAAGCGTCCTTGTGTTCTCGGCTGCCATCCCTCCTCTGTTCGTCGAAGGTACTTTGCCCGAACAACTTTAGCCCATAAGCTCTCGGGTTCTGCTATCAGCCTCCAAACTATTTTGAGCATAAATGCTTCATTCACCCTAGTCGCGTATCGAAGCCCGAGACCCCCTTCATCTTTCGGTCGACAAATAGTTTCCCAATCAATCAGATGAACCTTCCTGCCTCCCTCCTAATTCCCCCATATAAACGTCCGGATTTTCTTGTCAATGTAGTCCCTCACACTCGCAGGAAGGAAAGTAGTTTGCATGATATATGATGGCAGCGAGGATAGGACCGACTGAGCAAGAGTTATGCGTCCTGCCAGAGAAAGAGTCTTACATTTCCAACCTGCAAGGCGAGAGTCTATTTTATCCACAAGATCAACAAAGGTAGCCTGCTACACCCGATCATGTATAACTGGGACGCCGAGATACCGGCCCAAATTCTTCGTTTCCGGGATCCCCAAAGCCGAGGAAATTTCTGCCCCCTTTGCTGCTGTGATATTCTTCGAGAAAAAGACCCGGGATTTCGGCTTACTGACTTGTTGGCAAGAGGCAACACTGAAGTCATCCAAGCACTTCATAATGGTCGCTACCTGCTGCATGGATGCCTCGCCAAACAGAATCAGATCATCTGCAAAAAATAAGTGTGACAATGCTGGCCCATCTGCCGAGATCCTGACTGTTTTCCACGTGCCTGCCGTAACAGCAGTCTAATTCACAAAAATTATTGTTTTGCTACCCACATCTAATTCACAAATTGTTGGTATGATTACCCAAACCAAACTTCCACCGTTAGATCCCCAATCGGATGCGAGAAGGTGAAGACGGCAGACGGCAGAGGCCAGAGAGTCATCTCGTGGGCATAATAAAACTGCAAAATGATCTCCTAGCCACCGGCGTCCGGCGATAATGGGTTCAAAAATTGCAGACAATCCCATCAGCAAACTGGGAGACGATCTCCTCGAAGAGATTCTTATTCGTCTCCCCAACCCTAAATTCTCCTCCCGATGCAGACCGGTATGCAAGCGGTGGAACTCCATGATCTCCAATCCCACCTTCAATCGCCGTTTCGTCTCCCACCACCGGAGCAAGAACGAAACCGGAGGCGAACCGCCTCTGCTCTTTCCCTCCGACGACCACCCCCTGTCATCGATCCTGAGCTTCCTCCCCGTGCCTGGAGAAATTCGATCCAAATTCAGAGTTTGGGATTCCTTCAAGGACTTAGTTCTATGTGGATTTAATGGGCGGCAGTGGGACACCGATCCCGAACTGGGCAGGCTGTTCTTGATTTGCAATCCGTTCACAAAGCAATGGGTCGCCCTTCCTTTAGCGCTTGAAACGAAGAGCAGGTCGTGTGAAACAACGGAAGCGAAATTGGTCTGTCAAGAAGCCCCTAAGGCTAATAGTACCTTGGATCTGGGTGATGGCCAAGTGTTTGTCTATTCCGACTATCAATTCCGCGTTCTGGTTCGACATTCAGAGATGGGATATTGTTCGGAACTACAAGTGTTCTGTTCCGAGTCCTGTAAATGGTCGAGGAGAAAGGATCCTTGTCCGCATTCTCATACAGTGTCTTTGAACGGGAAGGAGTATTGGATTATTCGCAAAACAAACGAAGCAACCTTAGTAAGGTTTGATCCCTTCCGCCTAAATGTATGTCAAACCACGGTTGATGATGATATCTACTTCTTTCGGAGAGCTGGTGGTGGTCTTCTTGATCATTTCTCAACCTCACGTGGTGCACTGTACGTATCTACGTGCAACTACCCGAATGTCTTGACAATTCGGAGGTGGGAAGAAGGCAGTTGGACATGGACGACATGTTATGAAACGCGGTTGGAGACGCTAAAACGTAACAGTGGTCCCGAAGTCGGTGGCTTGAAAGTTGCATCTCTGCTCGCTCAGCATCCAGAGAAGCCCGAAGTTTTGTTCTTGCAATGCCACTGTGATAAGATTATGACATCTGTTTATTCGTGCAATTTAAGGACGGAAAAGTTAGAGCTTGTCGCCGACCAAATGACATATGGTGCTTTTGGTCGTTGGAAGGTTTTCCAGCCTAGAACCATTTGCTTCTCTACACCAATTCCTAGCTATCAGAATTTGCTGGGTATGTATAGCGGAAGCTACAATGATTTGGTTCAAAGTAGAAAATCCATTTAAACTCCTCTCAATTAGTGCTACATACTTTTGATAAATTTCAACAACTATTTATGATGTGGAATTCAATGAATGATTCCTTTGATTTTTTAGTTTGTTGGTGTCATATGGTGCCCTATGACGGTGTATAATTCCACTTTGAACTGGAACTTGATGAACCTGATTATTTGATTCCATCTGACTAATGTGAATGCCTTATGAGTTTGGAGGTGGAGGAAAGGTTGTGTTTGCTAAGGATTCAGAGACGTTGTATTATAAGTTTTCCTTCTTAAAATGCTAAAGAGTTGACAGGCTATGAAAGAAAGAGATCGTCATCTCAAGCAGGCTAGGCCGAGAAAATTAGAGTTCTTTGCTAATTCTTGATCATTGAATGGTGTTTCCGTCTGATTCACACTTGTTGCTTTTATCTTGTTCAAGACATGAACTGAATATTTTCCCCCCGTCCATTTTTACACTTTGGGGCTCCTAGCAAGAGATCAACAACAAGCAACATAAATGGAGACGCTCGAAACTGCAGAGTTCAAGACACCTTCTTCATTTGGGGTCCCTATCTGAACTAATCTCATCACACCTTGTGTAAGAATCACTGCTGCTCTCAGCTGCATGAGTACAAGCCAGGTCGTACTCTTCACCATCACAGAACTTCTCCAAAATCTTCACCACTTGCTCCATTGTTGGCCTCGCCTGCTCCACAGGATGTGCACAGATCACAGCAAGGTGAACAAACCTCTCCATCATCGGACCAGGCCAAGATCCCGACAAGCCCTTCTCGACAACTTCAATCGCATCCCCCTCTTGTTGTTGTACCAATCTCCAAGCCCACTCCCCCAACAGCCTCACTTCCCCTGCCTCCTCATCGTCGTCATCAACTAGCTCGTAAGCCTTGTGCCCGCTCAACAGCTCGAGCAACACAACACCGAAGCTGTACACATCGCTCTTCTCGGTCAGTCTTCCATACAGGGCGTATTCCGGGGCCACGTAGCCTAGCGTTCCAGCCGCCCCCGTGCTCAAATGCGTCCTCCCTTGCGAGTCGTCGAACCTTGCCAGCCCGAAATCGGCCAGCTTGGGCTCGAACAACTCGTCCAGTAGAATGTTGCTAGCCTTGATGTCGCGGTGGATGATTGCTGGATGGACCCCGTAGTGTAAGTAGGCCAATCCGCGAGCCGTTCCCAATGCTATTTTGAGGCGAATTGGCCAGGGAAGCAAACATTTTTCTCCCCCGGGAAGGAAGAGATGATCATGTACGCTCCCATTCCGCATCAAGTCGCTGACGATGATTCTCTGCTTACTTTTCTGGCCGGCCCTGGTCACACAGTACCCTCTCAGAGCAAGGAGATTTACGTGCTTGACACTTGCAATGATCTCAACCTTTGTAAAAGATCAAAACTCCAATAAACTCAGATGAAAGTTGATCAAATATAATAAAAGCGAAAAATTTTCTCGGCCGTACTAACCTCGTGGGCAAAAGTCTCATCCCCGAAGGATGACCTCGAACTATTCTTAAACCTCTTGACCGCAACTCCAGTGCCATCCTGCAACGTTCCTCGGTACACATTTCCATAGCATCCTTGACCGATTATGTTCTCCCTAGAGAAATTCATCGTCGCCTCCCTAATTTCACTTAGACTGAACTTCGTAATGTTGCGCCTTCGCGACTCAGATCCCAGATCGATGCTCGTCTCGCAGCTCTCATTCTGCTCATCAACAACTCTCACAACAGTACTCTTCACTTCACTGCATCGACATTTCCTGCGAACCACCCATGTCACCGACACCGCCATCGTCACCACGGCCAATGCACCTAAGACATAGCCAAAAATCGCGAAAGCGACCATCCAACGTCGTCTTCCTCGACTATTCTGAGATGGGATCGCCGCCGCGACGGGGTTGCTCTGCCTCAGCCTGAAGAAGCACTTGACCGTCGAGGCGTGACCCGGGCCGTGATTCGTCAGGAAAGCCGAGACATACATCAGCATGTAATTCCTCGCACAATGGCCACCAGGAGGGAAGTGCGATTCAGCCAGAGTGGTGAATTTGTGGGCGCAGCCGCGGCAGGGGAACCGATTCTCCAGTGAATCGTTGCAAAAGGGTTCCAATTCCCGGAGCTCCGACTTTGGGAACCGGGTTTCAAACTGGATCCGGGTCGTGATGTTTCCGCAGGACCCGAAAGCCGCCTCCATATCCCGCCCGCAATCCGATTCGATATTCAAGCCGCGGAAATGGGTTTTCCCGATCCAGTTCTGGTAAGATCGGCGGCAGGCTTGGATGACGGCAGGCGGTGGGAGGAATTTGCCGGTGGAGCGGAGGAATCGGGAGCGCAGGAGGAGGATTCCGTTGGAGAGGACTCGGCATTGAGTCGTTCTGTTGGTGGGATTTATTTCCGCGATCAGGGTTTTGATTGGGTTGAAGTTGAAAGGGCAAGGAGAAGTTGCGTTTTGCTGCTTCAGAGTGATAGCCGAAGAACAGAGTGGAGCAATTGAGGGGAGTAAGAGTATGAAAAAGAGGGAAGTTCTGAGAAATGACATCTGGATTTTTTTGGGAAATGTGGAAAGTTTTGGGATTGGGAGAAGGGAAGAAGAAAACCAAACCCGCCATTAGTCCACACACAGTTTTGGGTTCTTGAGGTTCTGGTGGAGGTTTCCTTTTGGCGGGTAATGGTTTGGCGGTACAGGGAAGAGGAAAAGGGATTTTGCCGTTTTGGAGTTAGTTGCATCCGTCTGTGTTGAGGAATCATGATCAACAAAGAAAAGGTTATGTCTTGGTTGTATGTTAGGTTGACTCAATCAACACAAGAAACACTATTCTTTATAGAACCTTTTTTTAAAGAGATTCTAGATAACTTGAACAAATATAAGTTGACCACTTCTCAAAGGAAGATTATGTTTGTTTAGAGGACTCCATTGCGGTCCAATTCAAACATTTGAGAGACTATATGAAAAAAGATAAACCTATTTTATTTTGTTCTTGATAATGACCCTCAGCAAATGATGACAAGTTCATGTCCCATATCATCAAAATGAAAGACTGACACTCTGACCCTAAAATACCCAAAGACCCTGATGACCCGGAACCCACCTTCGATTTCAGAATTCAGACCCCGTGTCCCGTCGCCCTCGCTTCTCATCGACTAAAACAAGCCTTCCCCTGAAATCACCGATTCGACGACTGCCTCCGGCGTCCATCCCAGGCCTCGTCCACCGATTCTCGGCGAGGGCGACTTCTTCATTCTTTCTCATCCACAGAAAGGGACCTTATCAATCGTAAATCCAGGGCTAGGTCAGGGGAGCAAAATCACGATTCAGTAACAGAAGGGGATCCTTCAATCTGAATCCCAGGCCTTTTGGAAGTTGGTCAGCTCTGCTACGTTCGGAGCAGCTCCACCAGACACCGCCGCCGTGGCCTCCGCCAGTCTCCTTCTTCTGGGCTCTCCATCAACTCATCATTTCAGCTCATTTCTCTTTAGAAGGTACCTTGTTCTGCTCCTTTTCTGTGCGTAATTTTGCTCTGCAATTCGCTCCAACGTTAGCTCGCAACGTTTTCTATTCAGTCCGTCTCTTTGCTTCTTATTATTTTCTCCCATTTCCGTTGATTATACACTGTCAGCTGGCTAACGAATTAGGGTTTCCTTGTCATTTAGGCTTTTGATTAAGTCATTTAGCGTGAAATTATCGCTGTAGAGATGTAGTTTCTTCGCTTCCAGAATGAATTGCGCTGCAATGGGATACTGTTTAGGGTTGGGGGGATAGGGGCGCATTAACTTCTGTCTATGGATCTAAAGAGTTCTCTTTAGTTTGGATCAATGTCTAGTGTATGAGCTGAATAAGTTTCTCTTACTACAAATCTGGGACGATGTAGTAGAATTCGAATTGGGTAATTGTATACTTGGGTAATCTTGGGAAAGATGAACAAGAAGCGTGAGAGATGGAAGAGGCGTTGTCCACAATGAACATTCTTAAAAATCACCCTCCATGGCCAATCAAAATCCACTTAAGACTTACCTCCTACTAATCCTTAATAGAAAAGAGACCTACTGAATTCACCAGAAAAGCCATCAACCGGCCAACGGGCCGGTCACAGTACTAGTACTTGTGATATGGATTTCCTGTCAGAGGTTTGTGGTTGGTACTGAGGATTGTGTTCTTTTTTGTACAGAAGGATGGATGGGAATTGGGAATGCTGCCTTTCCTTTTTGTGTTCACTAGGAAAATGTATCATTGTTCCTCTTCTTCTACCTGATCTCCCCAACAAGCGAACTTCCTCCACATCATTAACACCACGATTATTGTTCCTCCATCCCTCACAATCTCCATCCCTCACAATCTCACACCTCCATATGTCATTTTGCGATTTCTCATCTGGGTTTTTCTATCATCGGTCTAGATTGTCTGTAAACTGATATTGGCTTTCTGGGTTTTGATTTTTGGAACTGATAAACTGATTGTTTTGGGAATGACCTCTGAATAGTTAAGGCTTGCTTTTAGTAGCTGAGTAAACTGATATTGGCTTGTTGCTAATTTTCATTGCTTCCCATTGAACTGTATGGTCAGTATGTGAACTGTGGAGACCTGACTTTCATTAAACCCTCTTGCTGACTGTCTTTTGCTTCTTTGTACTAGCTGCTCTGCTCTGGTTTCCGCCGGTCACGACTGCATACCTGCAAACCAGAACACACCAATACTTGTTTAGAAGTGAAGGTAAAGAAGCAAATGAAGCAACATCATTATATTAATTGCTTGCTAGTTATGGTGACTGAATGTTAGGATAAGGAATTGCCTCTGGGTTTTGGTTTCTGCCATATATGGGTTTGGTTTCAGGACTTTTGTTATATGGAGTTTTGATCACGAAAATTGAAGACTGCATTTCTTGCTTTCTAGTTACAGGGAATCCTAACAAAGATGGGTTCTTTGCTGCTGATTAACAGATTGGTCAGGAGGTGGATGAAGATCCGAGGCTTAAGGTCTTAAAAAGGGAGTGGTTTGAAGGGAAAGATTGTTGCTAGACTG